GCGCTGCCCCCTCCTCGCCTCACGTGCGGCCGCCGTTCGCCGCGGCTGCGCCCCGGTGCCCCCCGCCGCCCCCTCCTGCTCCGCACAGGGCCCCGGGGAAGAGCCGCCCGGCCGGCCGGTCTCCCAGGCCGGGCAGGAGGCACAGCGGCCGAAACGCTCCGGGGAGCCCTTGTGTGGATGGGGAAGAGAAGTGCTGTAGTGTGGGGACAGAGAGAGCCGAGGTTGCGTTGGTACCGCTGCAAACCGCGCTGGATGAGCGGAACGTGGTGCTGGTGGTGAAAATGTGTGTGGAGATACATATATATATATATGTATATATATATGATGGGTGGGTGGGAAGAGGGACCGTGTTCAGAGGTGTGTCGTAGCGGGGAAAAAAGTTTCCCCAGCTGTTTGTAGCAAAATGATGGAATGTTTGTTTCTGGAGACGCTTCGCTGGCTCTGGATAAGCGCTGCTTGCAGCGTGGTATCTTGCAAGCTCAGATCTGCTTTGTGAAAGTGCATGTAGGAGGATCTACTACAGCATACAGCTGAGGCTTGTTGAATAAACCGAAGACTCAACAAAGTGTTTTCCTCGCTAAAGCAGAGATTCTTACTGATGTAAACAGTACTTGTTTTTCCATGGTAACGTTTCACTAACCTCATGAACATTTGTTAAAATACCTCTTTGTAAAGGGAACTTTTTTGTTGTTTTTGCAATCCATTAATTACTGTTTTTAAATCATGACTTGCTGGAGTTCAGTTTACAATCTCTACAAAAGGTACGACGTTGTTGTTGACGTCTGCAAACGTTGTCACGTTTACAAAAACTGACTTTTTCTGCAAAATAGAAGGTAGGTCTTAGGGGTTGTACAGCTCTGTATTTGAAAGGTCTGTTTTTCCTATTGTTTTCCAGTAATATCGCTATCCATACGAATAGATTTTGGAAATTAGTTCCTGCTACAAGTGTTGTCGAGGTGATAACTTTGGTTCATGGGGTTATTAAATACGTGCACAAGTTCAAGCAGCTTTGTAGTTCGCTTGTCCACGGTAAAGTCGCTCAGTGATGCCCTCCTCTCCTGTGGTGACTCTCTGAGGGTGCAGATTCCTTGGAATGCACACTCGGATGTGGGTGCGTGCTCTCATCTGCTGCGTTACCCAAGGCCCCGAGGTAAAAGATAAGCTCCAGTTTTTCTTCACCAGCCGGGGATAGTGCAGGGTCTGCTGGGTGGCTGTATCTCAGGGGCAGGGTTTGCAGGGGGAACTTTTCACCTGGGTTTTACTGAGTTGCAGATGTAACTAGACAATTCCTCAGCGAAGAAATCGCCCTGCAAAAAGTTGAGGCTGGAGATGGTGGAAGGGAGCCCAGAGGGGTGTTAGCTGTCTGTTAGATTTTCTGCTGTGAGGTTTTGGGGCAGTGAGGTACAGACACATCTGTCTTAGTGTAGAGGGTAGGTGAGGTCATCATTGGACATCTACTTTTATCTTGTTCAGCTATACTGCACGTGGGCCAATGGGCAAAATGTTATTGGGATGCTTACAGGGAATCACCTGAATCCTGTAATATGGAAGTCCCAGTAAAAATGTAATGATAAACCAGTCACTGTCTCTTGATTAGGCAGACTTTTGAATTCATGCATTATTCCAGTTTCTGTGTACTGCAAATTTAGCTAGAGATTTAGACTTTCGTTTAAAGAATAAGTTCAAACATTTGGACGTAGAAGTCTTGACAAAGCTTAATCTGCCAGAGTTGGCGTGATTGAACAGTAAAATAAAACATTTAAGTTTAGTGCGTGTCATGGCTATGCTTGGTGATGCTTATTTCATCACTAAAACTTGATGCTGGAGGATGACTTCAGAGGAGGAAGCTTCAGGAGAGGATTTTGTGTAGTTCTGAGGTAGTGTATTTACCTTAGATCTGCCTCCTGTTGTAGCAAGTAAGAAATTAGATTTATTTTTTTTTTTACAGAAATAATGCATAATAAAAACCATAAGTAGGGATAGCTGCATCTAGAACGGTGGGGTGATTAGCTACAGCCAGAATGATGGAAAGAATGGAAGGACTGCTATAAAATTAGTAATTTGAAAATATGTTCAAATGGGGTTTGTTCTCTGGGGTTTTTGAGTGATTTTTTCCTTCTTTTTTCCCCCTCTGGTAAAGCTGGTGTATTTCTGCTCACAGAAGAGATTGGATTTACAATTAAGCAGTATGAACTGGAGATCATAGAATAAGTCTAAGAAGCTTAGTTATTGACTTGAATGAGTTTATTAATAGTCTGCTTAATGGTTTGGTTACTCTATTCTCCATTTTCTGCAAAATGCTTGGATGCAGAGTCTGTTCTAGGCACTTACTGCCATTATTGTGTTTATTTTCTTGGAAATCTTTATGCATAAATATTGTCTGCTTTGTGCAGTAATAACAACAGTCATTTTCCAGCTTCTTTGCAATAGCTTTTCTCAGTCATTGCTCACAGTGCTGCTATCAGATTCACAAATTCTGCAATACTTCTACTTACAGCAGCATCTTACAGCTGTTGGGTTCTTTATCATTAGTTCTTATTTTTCACTCGGCCTTAACCTGTGTGTAATTTGGGTCAGTAGATGCGTTCTTGTGAAGAACTGGCATCGTTTGTTTTCACAGGATAAATTAAGCGTGTTTAACACATGGATAAAGGAGGGAAGTACCTGATGCTAGCATATATGTACCACTGGGTTTATTTAAAGCTAAAAGTTTTCTGTCATCTCAATGCTTATAAAATGTATTTGCTTTGGATTTGTTTTTAATAGTCTGTTTCTTGCATTTTCAGAAATTTTAGTCACAAAATGTTTGACTGTCTTAGGGAAAGAATAGCAAGGGAACGTCAGTCTTCAGTTCTGATTGCAAGAACCTAGCACAGAGATGTTGAGCAGACAGTAACATGCATTTGTAATGGTTTGACCAGTTGTGGTAGAAAAATACATGTATTCTTGCTGACAGTCTTCCTTCGCTTAGCATTTACTGTCTTTGTCCATTTTCAGGTGAAACATGTATGGTGAGGTTGCTTGTTCTTGACAGCAAGCAGAGTGTGGAATATGGACTGAAGAATTTATGTTAATTTCTTGTGAATCCAAACAAAACTTTTGGCTACTGTGTGCTAGTAAAAATAGGGGCACTTTTTGGTACTTGGGCCAGCTGTCACTGTCAGACAAGTAGTTGCCTGCTGGCATTTCAGCCTGCGAGGTGACTGGGGTGAGAGTAATCAGGATATTCTGATTGCTGTTCCCCGTCCCTTTCAGCGGATAATAAAACTCTTATGCTTCCTTACGTTTCTCTTCTGTTCATGCCTTCTTTGTGTGGCACTTCTACTCATTTTTGTTTCTTCAGGGAAGTAAACATGCTTTGCTGCAAGGCGTTGGTGTCACTTATTTTTTCTCCTCTAGAGCAGTAGGCAGCGAGTACGTTAAATTTGTTTTTTCCCTTTGACTTCTTATAGCGGTTAGAGGGAGAGGGTGTTTTTGCACTTATTATGGTTTGCATCGTGTTGTAGGGGAATGTTCTGAGGTTTTTAAGTTTTCATCAGGGTAAGGGTTGTGGTTGGAGTTTGGATGTTCTCCGTGTTTACCATGTAGTGAGCTATGGAGATGACCTTTTCCAGTTTCAGCTAGTCAGTACGGATTGCGTTTCTGGGCCCTGCCAGCTTTAGTAGTTCTGAAATTGGATATCGTGCATGTATTTCCTGATTTAATGTCTGTGGATCAGAAACAACTCAATAGTTCCTCGGTGAGCAAATCTGGGAAACAAGTTAATGTTCTATCCAAGACTTACACTGTTTACATTTTTTATAAAATATCTACTTAAAAAAGTAAAATGGATCTGAAAGCAGCTCTTAGCCAGTTTAGCTTTTAAGTCTGTGGAGCAACATCCTCCTTGTTAGGAGAAATGGAAGGTATCATAAGGCAGCACGTGTGCTGCATGCTACAGGATACTGGTCACAATAAATGTGTAAAAAATAACTTGGAAGTTGGTATATTTTGACCATGTTAGACAGAAGATGAGAGGCTGGAAAGCTAATTAGCAGATGAAAGGATAAGAGGCAGAGTTGCAAAACAAAGAGTTGATAATTTTAGATAGCCTCACGGAGGATTAGTCAAAAGGTGATACAATGATATCATGTTGCTTGTATGAGGGGAAGTCCTCTAATCCATCTAAATGAGTAAAGAAGTAAAAGTCATTGATGTTTTTACTTGCATTTAGTTTCTGTACTTTTATCATGACTCTTGACAGTGTCATAAAAAGTGCTATAAAGAAAAACAGCTTGGCAGAATTTTTCAGTAGTGTATCGGGTTTTTCGTTAGTAAAGTCTGTCCTGTAACAGGAGAAACTCATGCCCTTTGAATGTAGTTTTTGCAAATACTGTTGGCTTTCTTTTGGTAAGTTTGAGGATTTTTCAGATTCTAGCTTCTATTTTGCTTGTTGGAAATGCTTCTTCCTGTTCCTCTGATCATCTTGAATCCTAGGGTTGCAGGGGTTTTTTTCCTATTCCAATCCCTCCTGTTTTCTTGCCACAAACACTGGTTGTACCTGCAGTTCTCTAAAGTGTTCTTCATGTGGCAAAAGCAGACTTTGTGAGAGAGTTTCTCTAGTTCAATTAAATGTATGATTTTAAATCCAGAAGCTCAATGTTTGGAAAGGTGTCTGCTGCCCTTCTTGTTTTAGGATCAGTCCTGTAGGTCTCCGCATGGTCAGAGCTAAGGAACTCCTGGGCTGCTCCATGGCAAGCTCATCACCAACTTCCCTGGCCCTGTGACCTCTCTGCCTAAGTCTCACAACAGCACCACA